ATTATTTACATCTTTTTTAACATTTTGTAGCTGATTCTTTGGTTCTGATATATATATCTACAAGCAGAAGATAAAATAAGACTCTTAATAATATTTTTCATTTTTATGCTTTGTGTTTTATTTCAAAGTTAAGACATGCACAGTCATGACCCACATGCAGTTTGGAGTGAAGCCACAGGCAGATTACCAGGCGAACGTTAACTCATAGACAGAACAGATGGAGTTAATCTCAAAGTTTGAGGCTGCGTGAGTTGCTGTAGTTTTCGAATAACTCAGAGAGACTTCTCCTCCTGCCGGGGGTCCCCGCTCCCACATTAGTGCGATGATGAGTTTGGAGTTTGTGAAAATCTTGGGAGAGTTTGCCCAACACGCACGTGCTTAAGCCAGTGCAGCGCTTAGACACGGGTCTATCCGAGCTGTTAGAGATGAGAGAAACATGCAAAAAAAAAAAAACTTACAGTACAGTAACATGCAGATATGTAATAATAATTACATGCATGTTTGATTGTTTGTTTGTTGTTGTTTGCTGCTGAAGTGTCATGCATTTGTAGAAAAGCTGTTTTAGAAATGTCAAAGGCATGCTTGCAACTGCAGGCAGCATGTTAACCAGTTCAGCTGCATTTTCATGCTGTTCAGTAGCTTCAGTCTGTCATGCACGTTCCTTTTTGATTGACATGTTCTCTCTGTTATTTTAAATTGAATCAAGCAATCATCCAGGTGATGAAAAAGTGAATGAGTTGATGGTTAAATCAATGCATGAATGATTAAAGGTTCTAACAGAGAACAAACATGTCATAAATATTACTGTTTTTTTACAATTAATTAATTAAGACCAAGCTGTAGATGTTGGGTTTGTTAACAAACATGTGTTATACTTAATAAGAGAGACAGAAAGGAATAAAGCCATACCTCTCCTCTTCCGCTGCTTGTTGGGCCGTTTCATCAGAGGTTATCTGCATGAACTCCTTGATAGCTCTGAGTAACGTCTCAGCGTCCTTGTTCAACAGTGTGACACCATCTATGGACTCCTTACTAAACAGGAACATAAACATTTATTTTGGATTTGATTTTGTGCAGCTTCATCACAACGTTGGTTCAAAAACATGCATTTTATCGTCATAAGAACAATAAGCAAATAAAACAATAGTTTGTTACATTGTAAAATGTAGCTATTAAATTCAGTTTTACTTGGATTTTTCAATTAATTCAGAATCCCATCGATTTAAAAAACTTTGAGAGAGAACAAAATATAAAAGCTCCTAACTCAGTAATGATGCCTATGTTTTTCCTCATAAATATCTTGATTTCTTGATGGGGAAAAAAAGTGTTCAAACTGTCACCTGGAGGAAGCAGCCGCCGAGATTTTTGCTGGACAAAAAATCAGAGCAAAAGCAAGAAGGAGGGTCGTGAGTTTCAGCAGCATGATCACGGTTCTCTGTGGAGAGCAGAAAATAGCAAACAAATTCAGGAAAGACTTTCAAATTCAGTTAGAAAACATGTCACATCAACTTGTCTGTGTTCACTCCTTCTTTCACTCTCATCCAGTTGGTCGACCTTAAAGAACAGTTAGTAGTGATYCTGTGGGTTTTATCAGCAGTTTGAACAAGATAGAAAAGAAGGTTTAAAACCAGCTGAACTATGTTTCTATTCTCATGCACTCTAAAAATACAGCTTGCTTCTTCAAAACCCACATTTTCATAATAACATTTTACAAAAAGACAACTGAAATTTGCAAAAAAAGGCAATAGTTTTGCTTTACTGACCTTAGGATAAAAGATCTGCTAAAGAAGATGATGAGCTGACTGTGGATCTGCTGAGCTCTCTCATAGCACATGGTTTTATATATGTTCCCAGAGGATTTCTGAACTAACTGGTGAACACTTGATTGGACTCTATTGGTCGGWGCAAAGCTTCACCTCAAACTGCAAACCAATCAGAAGCAACAGTGTGTTTGATGGGAAGCTAATGGCAAATAGATGCTGATTTTATTGTTTCGTGGCCGTCAGTGTGCTTAATTCACAGCAAGATGTGTTTGAATCAAACAGTGGTATTAATAGTGAAGACTTATAAAATGCTTATAAAGCATTCACACTGCTGAGATAGTTTATTTCTTCTGTACGCTTTTCAACACAAATCTCATTTGACAATTTTTGTGCTATTTTAACAATTTACACATCAAAGCGTTTAGTTCCTTCAGAACGTTACAGTGGAAACTTGTAGTACTTCAGCAATTTATAGTTTTTGAAATATTTAGCTTTTTCTGTTATTTTTTTAAATTGAAAATGAATGGAGCTGTTGTCAACATTCATAAAACACTTCACAAGTCTTTATTTTTTTTACCCTTTTTTCTGTTTTTCAGTCCTTTGTACTAATTTCAGCCTCCTTAGACTTTAATTTAGCTGATTTTAGTTTTTTCTGCTTTGAAATTTTCTTTTAATTTTATACATTTCGAGCTGTTGTCTGCTGTTTTAAGCTTTTTATGCCACTTTTGGCTGCTTTCTGCTAATTTAAGCTGTTTTCTGTGTTTTGGCAGCTTTATAGCAAATTTGAGCTTTTTTTCATTGACCTTTTTGTGATCATTTCTGCTTCTTTCAGCCTAATTTAACAAATATGTGCTCTTTCTGTTTGTGCTAATTTCATACATTTCAGCTAATCCCTAGGCTTTTGTGCTAGTTTCAGCTTTTTTAGCTATTCAGCAAAAGGTTTTCAGCAACAAGCATTTCCTCTGCATTTTTTGCAGGAATAGAGCCACTTATTAGATGTATTTATTTACAGAGCGATTTAAATCACAACAGTAACATTAATCTCAAGAAACACATTTTCAACCACTATGCTCAAATCACAGCACCGAGGGTGCGCATTGTAGCCCCATTAAAGTCCACTGAGCAATTAAAAACTGATTAATCATTAAATCTGAAGGCAATTTCTGGGTTGCAATGTTTTATTAGACCTTGTTTTTTTTTAAATGGGAATAGCATAACTGGGAGATGCTCCATCATAAAAGTAAATCTTTCATTTCTCGGTGTCCTTCACTTCCTTCAAGAAAATCACTGGACTGTTGGTTTCTTCTGATTGCCCTCGTGTAACAATATTGGTTGTTGTATCGTAAAGCGTCCTGCCTCCCAGTTAGCTGCTGCTTCACACAGAAACTCATTAAATAGATGAGCCTTTTAGTGCTATTGAGCAGACCAGCAGGCCACGTACAAGAAGCGCTAAGTTAACCTTTAGAGAAAGAGATTTCATGTGGAAATATTCATAATTGTTTTGTTATTATCTGAGCAAGACATTACATTTCCAATTGTCTTTGAGGTGATCACTCATTTGCAAATACAGTCGAGCTTTTGTTCATTTTCAAAGACAGAAATGATCGGCACTGACAAATCTTGAATTCAGTTCTCTAAGGTTCTTCAAACAAGTCTTGTTTTAGCTCAAAAGCCCTTCATACGATCAATGACCAGTTGACAAAYTGCACTTAAGTGTTTCATGAGCTACCATAATAAGCAGCTGGTTAATTAACAAGTTGTGAATAAAATTCTAATTTATTTATTTAAAAGTAGCAAAAAAGATACTCTCTGTCATCAAATAAAAGAATGAAACATCTCTAAAAACATAACTGATCAAGTTAAAATTTGATTATATTGAACTTCAACCTGTTTCTACTCATAACAAAATACTTTATACAAAGTTACTAATGTTGAAGCTCCCACACACATCTAACGCCACTCTGAAGTTCTGTGTTATCACTGCCTGCACTGACCCAGGATGCCGGCTGATGCAGAGAAAGGAAACCCCAAAGGGAAAAGCGAAATGACAAGACTGCAATTAGCTGTTTGCATTTCTAAAAGTTGGGCACGAATTGGCCTGGAAAATTAATTGCAACACAGGAGAACAGCGCTGACAGCGTCACGCTCACCGCAGCGCCCGTCAGCACCAGCCTCGGCTCACTTATTGACAATGTGATGAAACAACACCAAACTTTGGAGCTTGGCAAAAAACAAATAATCAACAGTTCCTTTTAAAGGTATCATATTCAAACGCTGTTTCAATATTTGAATGGGCAGCTTCGAAACTGAAAAAGAAATAGTGCATCAACAAAGTGTGCGATGGTCTGATGACCTGTGGGGTGTTTCCTGTCTCTCGCCTGTTGACTGCTGTAAATAACCCCTCCTGACCCTGAACAGGGTCAAGTAGGCTCAGAAAACAGATGAAAGGACTCTAAAGAAGAATGGACTCTTTTTAGTTTTAACTTAAAATGTGAAAAGAGGACAATAAAATTAACTCCAACTCAAAAGAGTACTAGACTGAAAGAAAAAAAAGAATGCTTACTGTTAAAATATACATTTGGGATTGAAGATTTTTTTGTTGTTGTTTTGCAAAAATACCACCTCATTGATAAATAATGTRGATTTGAACTTCTGTTGGTTTGTAGCTCATAAGTTCTGTTAAACCTTCATTAGGAGACATAGGTGTAAAGTACTTGGAAAAAATAACTAAGTAAAAGTAAAAGTACCTTAACAGAAAATGACTTTGGTAAAACAATTTTCGCTAATGAGCAAAAGTCATAAAACTGTTCACAAAAATTGAAAAAGTTGAAGTACTTTTACACACTATGAAATAAACTGTTGAATTTTCTTAAACAAACTGGTACCTCTAAACCAAGTTGAGTAAATTAGCAACATACATATTTTCTTTTTTAGAACATATTTATAGTGATTTAATAGAGCCAGATGACGTGACTTGGTTGAGTAAATTCAGCACTTCATTTTTTGAGTGCATAAACAGCTCCTTTCATGATGAGTTCAGACATATTTAATTTCGTAACTAGTAAGTAGGGTGTTACATTTTAAAGTAAAAAAGTATAAGTACCATTTTAGGTTTTGAATGTAACAAAATACAAGTAAAAGTAACAATTTGAAAGTATACATCTTCAAACAAATTACTGAAGTACTGTAATGAAGTAAATGTGCTTAGTTACGATAAACTTCTTCATGGAGTGTTTAAAAAAATGCAGAAAAATACGTTTATTGGCTTGAATTGATGAAAGTAGCCAGGTCACTGAACACAACAGCTACTGATTTATTACAGTAACTTGCTACTGGAATGTGGTTAGTTTGTGTGACAACAAGTCTTACTGTCCAAGACAAACTAAAAGTGGAAAAACCCATTGCCATCTTTATAAAAAATTACTTAYTGGTAAATGAAATGGCATCAACAGATGCCTTGAGAGAAAATGATGTTTCTTTGATGTAGTTGCAGAGCATTCACAGAAGGATGTTTAAAGAACAAAGTGTGAAATTTACACTGARCAACTTAAAGTGATGTATAAGCTGCAGCTGCTGGCTCTTACACAGCTTACCTAACATTTAAACACCTGCCCAGTGGTTGCAGAGGGATTACAGGACCTCTTGATGTTCCCGCCACAGGTCGTTAGGTTCCTAGAAAAAGCAAGGCTCTGGACTGCATTAGTATTTACAGAGAAGGTTCATAATGACATTTTCTCCATTGTCCTGACAGTTCCAGTCATCTGAATGGAAACAAATTCACTGTAGAAACACTGTAATCAACGGATCCACCCAGTAAGACTTGTTTTCCAGCTGGACTCACAATGCATGCAGTCAAGTTCAGTCTAAAGGAGGGTTTGTGACGGAGGAGCCGAGCTCACCGCTGCAACACAACTCAACCAGTAAATCATGGCAATACAAATTCCATTTTAAAGCTTGATATTTAAAAGCTCATCACAACACAAAGCAATGTTCAACTCAGTTCGACTTAATTTGCACAAGTCAGTCATGACTGTTATTTCCTGTGATTATTCTGCACAGTAGCTTACTTTTTAACTTTCATTTTTATCAAATTTTTCCTTGATGGACCGGTACTGTAATTATTATTCTTATCTTTGACTTTGATCTATGTTAATTTTTGTTGTTACTATCTTTAATTCTATTATTTTTTTGAAGCTACTGATGTTTGTCATATGGCAGCGTACTGTTTTGTGGATTGATGTGTTTACATGCTGCTGCTACTGCACCTGAATTTCCCCACGCGAGACAATAAGGGCTGTTTTTATTCTATTCTATTCTATTCTATTCTATTCTATTCTATTCTATTCTATTCTATTCTATTCTATTCTATTCTAAAATGTGCATCAAAATGGTCAAACAAGACCTTCACTACACCTTCAAGCTGTGGTTCTGGCTTACCCTTTTTCTCGATTGCTACAGCGACTGCACTGAAAAAATAATTTGTAAGATTTACTAGATAAAATACTCAATTTTTAAGTAAATTTTACTGCTGTGATATCGGGTATTATTTACTTGTCAATATTAGGTACTTAACACCTCAATTACCAGTCATGAAATTACTGAGTAATTGTTACTCAATTAATCTTAGATTATATTTATGGAAATAAATAACGTAAAAAAAATACTGTCATATATGCAACATTTTATTTATTTCCTTTTAACAACCAATTCTCTGCATTTTCCCCATTGCACATGTGAAGCGGTGGGGTGCCATTTGAGGCCCCTGGGAGCCAGCTGTGGGGTTGAGGGCCTAGGGGGCCCTGTGTTGGACAGATGTTCTTGGCCTGGGGAGATGAACTAGCAACCTTCAAGCTCACCTCCTCTAACCTCTGCCCCACCGCTTACCACTGAAAAAGTTATTTTTGTAAGATTTCCTAGATAAAATACTCATTAAAAAATTGCACTTTTAAAGTAAATTTTGCTGTTGTAATATCAGGTACAAATTACTGAAATAACTTACTAACTATTACACTCCAAAACTTTTTCCAAATTACATCATATGTAATCTAAGTTTGCTCAGATTTTAGATGTCTCTGCAGCAAATAAGAAAACCATCTGAATTTTTAAACAATGTTTTTGATCAAATTAACTTCTGAGACGATGATGCAGCAAGAGCAATTTTTCAATTACATTTTTAAAAAAAATGTTTTAATACTTCCACATTATCGTTTGAGCTTGAAAGACACAGAAGAAATTTGCAAGAATATCTTCATTAAGTAACAAGACRGAATGATTAGGAGAGGCTTGTAGAGGCCGTTGAGGCATCGGAAAAGACGAGGAAGAAGTGGGGGAAGCAGCTGGCTCAGCATGAGCAGCTGGATAAACATTTCCATGTCTAATGAGAAACTAGTCCTAATGAACAGATGTCAGGCAGGATTTTACAAAAGTATAAGTTTACACTTTAGCAGTTCAAATAAAAAAAATTAGAAATTTTTGCATATTCCTGCAAACTCTTTTCATCAATAATGAAACTTTAAAAGCAATGAACAATTGCAGCCAGGTGTTAAAAGAAAAAAGAGCTTCTCCAAATACCTGGACAGTTTTCACGTTTGTTCGGTTAAAATATAAACTTTGTAACTTCATCCTGTCCTGGAGAGTCTCCCCGCGGTTCTGCATAAATTCTGTCTATAAATCGCTCCAAACGGAGCAAGTCTGGAATGTGTCACATGTCTGTACCTTTAACCTCTACATATAAGAAATTACCTAACATGTAATGTGTGGAGGTGAAAGAACCTGCAGCAGATTACTTACTGGGTCAAAGTTTACGCTGTAAAACATAGCAGACTGAGAATCGACACCAGCGTAGAAACAACACAACACACCGCAACAGTTTGATCCAGACGGCTCTAACATCAACAGCTTTGCAGAAGAAGCTCTGTGTTTGTTTTAGGCTCGAAACTGTTTAATGAAGAATAAGGTGTGCAACGTGTGGTTTGTGCTTTACACTAGGTACTGCCTGCCGCCAAAGGCGAAAAAAGATGATGTTTTTGCCCATCTGGGTGCATTTATGTACCTATATTAGCAAAATATCTCATGAACCGTTCAATGAAATCCCTGGAATTAACCTTTAGATGGACGAACAACTCTCTGTGGAGTCTGATTCAAGGTGGGATTTTAGCGAAAATGCTAACGGCTAAATTTTACAAAGATTGAGCTAAAATTTGGTGAGAGTCATTCCTGTCACTCTGAGCACTAACTGATGAGATCTGCTTTCAAAATGCTGCCTAGCTCTTGAAGTACTTGTCTGTCTGTTAGCAAAATATCATCTCATGAATCATCAGACAGATTTTAATGAAGCCATCATTGATCTTGTCTTGTATTGATTAGTTTGAAAAGTACAATTGATTCACTTTTGAAGTCAACTCACTTTAGCTTGGCTGCCTTTTCCATTACACAAGCGCCTGTAATTTACTCAAGTTTACAGATAAAAAGCTATATTGATGTGGCAGTGTGGCTAAAACACATTTGCAACATATTCAGCGCAAAAAAATGTGAAATGTTGCAATCCTGCAAAATTTTATTTAGAAAAGGTTGGCCAAAAACTGTCATCACCAGAAGTTAACGCTTCTGAAAATTTAGTTTTAATCAGTTAATATACAGAATTTGTTTTTATCTCGTCCATTTTGTTAATGACAATCATGCTTGTGAATATTGTCTCACAACAAAGTTATAAATAAAAATGGAGATTTTTTTTAAATCTGTTTGTGCTGTTTGGGCATTAGTGCTGTTAAAGCATTTAATTTGGACTTTTTCACGAATCTTGCCACTTAAATCGAATGACTTTTATTCCTCGAACACAAATTAAATGTAATGTCTAGCCAAGGGAGGCCTCGCTTGTTCGTGATTTTGATGTGGAATTCTGTGATTCCCAAGAACTATTGCCAAATATTTCCTGCAAAGCTGTGCCGACTTGTGTCAACACAGATTTGATTCAGACTGGAGCTCGCTGCTTCCTAGAAACGCTGTCGACTCGAAATTTGTTTGAAGCAATACTCTCATTTAGAGCCACGCTTTGTGGGCAATAGATCCGTTAAATTCATTGTAAAATGGGACTTGCCTGTTTAAAATAACGGCAAATAACTAAATAATAGATAAATAATAAAAGACAGAAGCATATTTGAAATATTTTAGAAAAGTGAATTTCTGGTCTCAGATTTAGTTTCTTGTTCTAACCTGTTTCTCATTAACAACCTTAACTGTTCCTATTACGCAAAATCAATTTATTCAGATAAGAAAAAAAGGTTTAAACTGCTAATATCTAAAAGCAGTTAGATAGTTAAGTAACAAGTCAGCAACATTATTATCTGAGCTCTGAATCACTCTGTTATTGTTAATCTTTAGGACATAGGAAGGAACACTTTAATGTTTTTTTTATTATTTTACATTAACTTTTTCCCCCATTAAACCCGTCTCATGAAACACAGCTTGCAGAGTTTCTTATTTTGTCTTAATGTGCTTCAAAGTTTCTTTTTATTTCTAATAATTTAAAGTTYAAGTTATATAATTTTCTGCTGGCTCTTGCCCAATCTTCACTCCTGTTTCAGCGGGGTTATTGATGCTTTTTATGGCCCTAAAATGCAAAACATTTTCACAATCAATAAAATGGAACGTGGAAAAGTTTGCTGTCCCCTGTTGAGGGATAATTAAAAGTAGTACCCGTTAACGTCAACTTAATTATTACTAAAATGAGGCGGATTGTTGACCCAGAGCAGAACAAAGTTCAGCCACAGTTGACTCTGACTTTCTGGCCAATCTTGGGCTTAGAGGCGGGGGGACAGAATATATGCAAGATGATACATAAGTGCTTCGTTTCCRCGGAGGAGAAAGCGAAGTCTGGTCGGGACTTTGTCAGCCGGGAACACAGGGGTTTGTAGAGATGGTTTCACTGAAGTGCCGCTCTCTGATGCCGGTGGCCGGCGCCGAGGCTCAGCTCGCCGTGGCCGGCCTGGCTGCGGTTCTCCTCGCCTTCCTGCTGGTGCGTCAGCTCGTCAAGCAGAGGAGACCCCCGGGCTTCCCCCCTGGTCCATCTCCCATCCCTGTCATAGGAAACATTTTCTCTCTCGCCACCGAGCCGCACGTCTTCCTCAAGAAGCAAAGCGAAGTTCACGGACGGGTAAGAGACTCGGGACGAGCCGTGGTGGTGGTGGTGGTGGGGCATTATTATGAGCGCGCGCGCCGCGCCGCTGATGGGGCACGGGGATGGATGGGGCACAACAGAAGGAAGGGAACAAAAGAAAGTCGCTCTTTTGTTGGAGAGACGCGGCTCTTGATTGGACGAGAAAAGCTAACAAATCAGAAAATTCAGAAATGAAAACCTCCAGAGAACAAGCACCCTCGTCATTTCTTGCGATATATGCTGAGCAAAAGTTTTATACCACCACTTTTTTTCTCCTTATTGTATGTTAATTGCTTTGTTTCTCTGATAGGCTACAGAAGCAAAATAGAAAGACACGATGACTCATTAATGACTCAATGACTCAATGTGTTTGAATGGTATGCTGTGTAGATAAAATGAGAATTTCTGATCACTGGCCTGTTACAAAATATCAAACAGGTTTAACAAAAAAAAAA